CTGAACCCTTTCAACAAGGGTGAAGTACAGAGCTGAACCCTTTCAACAAGGGTGAAGTACAGAGCTGAACCCTTTCAACAAGGGTGAAGTACAGAGCTGAACCCTTTCAACACAGAGCCGAACCCTTTCAACAAGGGCAGTTCAGCATTCAGGGCGAGGGACGGCTCAGGTAGAGCTGCCCATTGGTGTACCTGACGGCGGTGGGCGGTGGCGGTACGCGATGAAAAGTGTGGGTGGGTCTGTGTCTGTTGTGCACATGTGAACGCAGGGCTCCGTATATATAAATGCTACTCTCGTACTTTGCGAAGAGGATGCAAATGACAAAGGACTAAGCTATTCGGCTCTTCGTCTCTTAGATCGCTTTGACCCAAGTCCGTACCAAGTATGTCACAGAATGTCACCAGGGCCAGTGAATGGCAAGTCAACAACATCTTCAGAAGTGTTTAACTGTGCAAACCCATTGGCTTGTCCGGCGAGCTGTGTGGACATCCAAATATTTTCAGTGTATGAGCAAGATCCAAAATCCTTGGGTCTTTGGCTGGGTTGTATTGCTTCATGAAAATCCGGTCTTTCCGTCTTGAAGATACTTCCAAAAGCGTCTCCAGGTCAGGATGATCCACCAAAAACCGGCATCTGCGGGCAGCCTTAGGGAGGAACCGATGGACGCCTGTCATATAGCCCGTGCCTTGAATTGAAGGGGGTGTACCGCAAAGGTACCCCAGAACAAACAAAATAATTACATCAAAACACAATTTTCCGCTCTCCAGTCATTCACAGGAATCCTTTCCATCCAACGTGCCCATCCATCACGTAGACTCTTGATTCAATGAAAACGAGTAAGAGCTGTTGCAATCCATTTCTTCTAAAAAACAAGATAAAGAACACCCAGGAAGTGCCAGAGAGGCAAGAACCATCGGCATCGCTGACAACGTGGGGAATCCTGGTTCTTGGTCCAAAAAGCCGAACCCCCCACGACCGTCGCCTGTAAAAAGCCGCCCGAAGTTGATCCTGCCGCCGGCCGCGATTCTTCGGCTGTGAGCTCTGAAGGATGTGATGGGGTGATGGGGGCCGCCAGGCCACAGGTCAGATCTCTAGCAACCCCCACAGGCCAGTGGTCAGTTGGACCTCATGTTACTAGAGTTGATCATACAAACAAACAAAAACACCACTATATGAGCATGAGGTCAAGGACCAGGAACCTGGATCCGAGTCAGACTGGACCCTGTTGGGAACGAACCATGGCAAAAAAAACTGATCAAGTATATGATCACAGGATTCATTCGGATATGGGGAAGTCATATAGATATTAGATATATATATATATTGTACTGTAAATATATATATAGCTGGCATCTTCGCAGCATTCGATATGATGTTTGACAATGACGAGAATACTCCAGTCTGTGTGTCTGTGTGTGTTTGTCCGCTTCGCAGCGGGATGAGTCGGTGACAAATCAAAGGCAGTCGAACCAGTGAAGGGAAAAGAACATGCACTTGTTTGATTTAACCCCAGCAATCCAATTGGTAAAACCTCTTCATAGCAGTCTTATGTAATCTGAATCTTATTGCCTAATGTGGCCCTCAGATTTATAAACCCCCCTAGAATTATGTCTTTTTTTTCCCTGCACTGATTTATAAAGGCCCCTAGAATAATGTCTTTCTTTTTTTGGAGGGGTAGTTGTAGTGGATTTGTTTTTTATTGTGATAGTTTACTTTTTCCCTTTTGAATTTGCTGGGATTTGCTTATCTTACAGGCTTTTGGATTGAGATTTCTATTAAACATTTGGAGATTTCCATTGAGATTTGATTCTGTTGGAGGCTTTTGGATGGAGATTTCTATTCAAAAATTTGAGATTTCCATTGAGATTTGATGCTAATTTTGGAGGCTTTTGGATGGAGATTTCTATTAAAAAATTTGGATATTTTCATCGAGATTTGATGTTTTTGGAGGCTTTTGGATGGAGATTAATATTGCGAGAGTAGCTCCAGAGGTAGCTAGCTAAGGATTCCTTATTTAATTATCAACTGATTGATTTTCATATACATTATTTTGGAGGCCTTGGTTGTTGAGGGGGGGGGGTTTATAAATCAAGGGACTACATTATTTGTGTTTAAATGGCTCAAGAGTCTACATTAGTTGGGGTGCCATGGATGTTTCAATGAACATCTATAAACCAAGCTTCTGGTCCGTAGACACCAACCCCTTCCTACTTTCCGAATTTGTCGGGTCCAAACAGCCCGAGCTCCTGGCCATTCCTGGCACGGGTCGTCGGCCCCGGTGGCCTCGTTGTCTTCAGCTTCGTTCAAGAGCCCTCGACTGGAGCCTTGAAGCTTCAAGCCCCTCGGCACCCGTGGACGGTCGGGGAGGTGACGGGCTTTCGGTCGGTGCCTGCTTCGTCGTGAGACAGTGCCAAACGGGAGAGAAGATGCAGTGTTGGGAAAATTCTAGAATTGGTTTTGTATTGTGAGGAATCCACCTTCCGGCTTATTTCCCAATATCGTAGTTTGTTTAACAAGATACAACATATAACTCTGTCAAAGTAAAACACATTCCACTCCACTTTGATCAGGCTTAATCAAATCAAATTCACTTGGAGGCTCAGCTCATCAAGCCTCTGTTCACGCGCACGGATTCTGATAAGCATCAGACCTGCTGCTTCACAAAAAACTGATGAGCATCTGCTTCGATCACCCTCTGCTCTAGACCCAGACCCTCGCCGAAAAAAAGGGACTCAGTGCAGTGGTTGAGAAAACCGACACTAGCTATACAGGCTATACACTAGTATTGATGGTGCATGACTGTCTCATCCACCAATTCCTTCCAAACTTCCAGTTTCACACACCTGGACCTGCGAAAGCGATCTTCATGAGATGTTTCATCGTTGTCATAGGGTTTTCCTTTTGGAGGCTGTGCACTTCCTGACGTCCAAGTCCTCCTCCGAAACTCTTCCTTTACGCCGTCGTTGGCCCCCCAGCGGAAGTCGACTCCTGGGAGGGTAGAGGCGAACTGCCCAAGGAGTGGGCCGCAACTTGCGGGGCTCCGAAACGCCCCACCAGGCGTGGGCCTGAGGAAAAACGAGGAAATACCTATCAACAATTCCCAGACACTCTATGGGACTGCCATAGGACTGCCGAGAAACGGCCAGGGGTGGTGCCAGGGGGGTCTGGCTGGGGCGGCAGTCCGTCCTGGCAGTCGCAGACACGTCGTGTACGGGATTTGTTTTGCTGTTGGCAGCACCCGCTTGGACCGAAAGAGATGCATGGTGAGAAGAAGAAGCTGGTCGGTGAGAAGAAGAGTGCCATGTTCAATGTGGTTCTTCCAAACACTCTATCAACTGTAGCTGCTTGAGGATGATGGAAGACAATAGGACTTGGATCTGAAGCCTGTCAAGGACACAATGAGTCATTGGGGTTGTGTCGGAAACCACAAATGATGCCCACTAGCCATGCCTTTGAAATCCTTTGAACTTATATAAACTCTTTGGGGCACCATTTGTTCAACATGTCAACTGGTCCTACAGTGCTTGACCATTGGTGCGATTGGCGATTGCTTTCAGGTCATTTGTTCAACATCTTCACCAAGCCTTGCTAGCTGCTATGTTTGGGGTGCGACAGTGTGATAGAGATGTCGCAGGGTGGAGTTCCCTGGAAGGCTTGCTCATCTCACGAAAACCATGGGCTTGCACTTCCTGGAACTAAGATGGAAGTGGATGGCATGGCCCGAAGTGGATGGCATGGCCCGAAAGGAAGACCATGTGCCTCCAAAAATAGGTGGATTTCCACGTCACTTCCAGGGAGCGTAGCCTGATTGGCGGGGTTGAACTAGTTCGCCATTCTCCTGCTAGTTTGTAAAGCAACACCGAAAAGCGGCTGAGTTCCCCAGGACAAAAGCAGGTGCTCCTGCTCTTGGGCGATTGCCCAACGCACAACCTCAGCTACAGGGTAAAGAGTGTGTGGATTGAACAGTTCTTTCAACATTCTACTTTGGTGTGGAATGGGTTCAAGAAAAAACACTAACATTACGTAGGATTTGTGTGATAGACTGAAACAAACCTAGAACTTACATACTTCAAACCGATGGTGAAGTCTTGACAGTGAAGTCGAAGTGATTTCCTGTGGCGTTAGGGGCCTGGTGGAGAAGTGGGCAACGGAAAGGATGCAAGAAACGACATGAAAACAATGTGAAAACGACATGAAAACCAACAGCGTCTCCATCGGTGACAAAGTTGTTTGACATTTCACTTCTCTCTTGGAGGCATCTTCTCTCCCAACTGCTAGGCTTCTTGGGGGCAGCTTCTTTAAAATGGAAAGGCACATGTGCAGACTTCAAGTCTGGCCTAAAAGTGCATACAGCCATCATGGCCATGTGAAGAAACTTGCTTTGTGTGGAGTGGTAGTCCTAGTACTCAATATAAGTCTTAGCCTTGCCTTTGCTTGCACGCGCTAAGTCTCCCAGTTATCCCGATGTTTGCGCCCTTGGAGTCTTGAATGCAAATGCATCACAAAACTTCATGGCCCGGCTACTAGAGTCAACAATCAATTTCTATCCATTCCAGCATGTGGCCCTGGGAAACGCCACAACCAACCAGTCTTTGCCACTGCTACACCCAGACTCATGTTCCTCGGAAATGGAAACAACCCTCAAGGAACCTAGTCATCCAAGGTCCAAATTCCACTTCTAATCTTCATTAAAATAAATCAATGGTCCTGGTAATTGAATCACTGACTATAGAAGTGAGTGGCACCCCCTGCTCGTGACCATGCCATATATTTGCATGCCAAAACTATCCATGGGACTAGCCTATTGGCCTATTCACCTACAGTGGGGTGGTTGAAGAAGGGGTCAATTATTAATGTAAATAAATGTAAATACATATACAGTATACATACATATTCCAGTCCCATGGATGGTCGGGAAAATGTGCACGTCAACAGACGTTTCACAGCTCCCTGACGCCCTCATTCATGGTGAGATATTGATTCATATGTTTGTCGGGTCTTCAGATTTCACCGCCACCCGCGTCCCTTCTTCGAACTTGGTGTCCCGGACGAGCCGGTGCCGGACGTCGCCTCTTCAGCCGGTGCGGTGTGCGGTTTGTGGTGGAGTGGTTGAAAGCCATGGCGGGGGACCGATGAACTTGAAAGAAATGGAAAGCCGTGGACAGCGATGTAAAACGGACAGAAGGTTTGAAGTTATCAGTTGTTCCTTCGAAAACGGACACCGATCAGGACCGATCATCCACTCCGCCAATCCAGTGAACCACGCCGCACCAAAAAAACGTTTGGTGGTAATGGGGTCACAAAATTGAAGCCAGGGGGTTCTCCACTCAAGTGTCGAGCACCATACATACATACATACATACATACATACATTCATACACACATACACGCATACATACATACATACATACATACATACATACATACATACATACAT